GTTGGCAATGTGCAACGTCAACTCTGGGGTGAAGAACTGCTAGAAGATTTCGACAAGAGTGCTGTTCTCATCCAGATTTTGCACTTGAACACCCTCTGTGCCTTGAAAGCCGTGTCGGCAGGGGAAGTTGTCATCAGCCGTCCACTGAATGGACGAAGTCTTGACCTTCTTCTTGGCAGGCCTCGCTAACGATGGTTGCCCGTTAGAATCACTGTCTCTAGTTTCAATTTCTGAACTATATTCAAATTCTGACGTGAAATCTGAACCACTAGTCGCCGTCAGAGTTTCCTCTTCACTGGAAGACACTGTGTAACACAACTGAAGGGCCGGGGAGCAGCCAGGAAAATATATACCAAGCGCTACAGAAAATACTCCTTTTTGGATGAAACAAATGCCCAATTATGCTGAACAAGGACCATCTATATCCCAAGTGTTGGTGCTGGGGTGCTGTGCACGTGTTCAGGGCCCAGGAGGGCCATAAACAATGGCATGCACACCATGTCAATGGCCTGTATTCATCGCTCTGCGGGCCCACACAAAGCGCGTTGTATAAGCCCTGACAGCGGAATCAGCGACACTCCACGGAGATTACCCAGGGTATTCAATCGAAGACAAAGGGGGTGTTCTGATGAATAAAATCCAATTTACTGGGTATCGTGGGGTCGAACTCTCCTTGTTGCCCCAGATTTCCATTCAATGCAAAGCTCCCAGTAACTACACGTGTACACTAAATAAAAGTTGCAGGTGTGGTATGCGGCTACCGCAGACACCCGGAAATTAGACTTTTCTCCAGGTCTGTATTTGCAATCACCCGTTGTGAAGGGGTTAAAGTTTCCATCGTAGCTGAGGCACCGGCAGCCACACTGGGTACAGGACAACACTTACCCCCAATCTGACATGAATGTCTTCAACACCCTTCTGCATGTTGAGGAGCTATACACTGCTGCTACAATTTATGCATCCGACTTAGCAAAGATAAAGATAACCAACTTTATCTCAGTTACTTGCAGTCTTTGTCTCTGTCTCCAAGATATTTCTCTTATGGAGGTAAATTCCTTGGATGTGAAAAGAGAGTTCTCCTTACTGTCCAGACCTCATTACAGTTATTCTAAGGGCTCTGAATGATAATGTCTTCTCTGTCTTTTAGTAAGTTTTGCAGTTTTCTTGCCTCTTCTTTTGCACTGCCAACCAAAGCCACATCAACGGAAAGGACAAGGGATCATGCAGTCGGCCTGCAGACAATCTACATGACAGCTGCAGGTTCCAACAACATAGTGGCGGACGCACTCTCCTTAGGATGATAGAGCAGCCTCACATCCACCTTTTGATTTCTCCGAACAATGCTCTACTCCCAATACTCTGCATGGGAGTTTCTCTCCCTCCTTGCATGAGCCACAGATGCCCTTCAGTTGATTGGATGGACATGCTCGGGTGTGCCTTTCTGTCTATCTCATTATTTCCACAAGTCCTCTCCAAAATAGAAAGAGATCACTGTCGGATACTCCTGATCACTCCTTTCTGGCTGTGTCAGGCCTGATTCCCCTGACTCACTGGACTTCTATTTCGCCATCCGTTTGTCCTCCCGGCAAGACCGGACATCCTCTGCTATCCAAGATTGGGATTTTTTCCACCCGGCTCCTGACGATTTGCTCCTAACACATTTGGTATTGTCCAACGATCTCTCTGTTCCATGAGACTTTCTAGTGATGCCATGGCTGCATGGGGGTGTCGTCTGCCCACCTGTTGAATTCATAACAGCAGAATTTAGCATCTCATTACATGCTGCAATGGGATAGGCTTTGGTTCCAGTCAATACTGCTGAGTGCTATAATAGATTTCCATATTTATACAAAATCAGTTGCAGTAACACACACATTTGTACATTATTATCAATATAATACCTTCTCACATCTAGGATTATCTCCAGCCACAATTTGGCAAGATTTAAGAGATGAATGAGACATATAACCCTGTGGGAAATTTCTACTCCTTTTAAATTGTTTAATGAATAATTAACTTGTAAAACTGTTGTAAGATTTCTGATGCTTTTTATTTGAATCTGCTTGAAACAAGTCTCCACAGTGCAATGTTTCTCATTTAAAACAATAGAAATTTTCCCTTACTTTTCATGAATTTTGCATTCCAATATTCAAACTCAAAAAATAATATTTGAATATTCGATCGATTGTCGAATATTCGGTTATTCGGCACAGCCCTAACATTCCTCTGGTTTTGAGACCAAAGTTAGGTTCTCTAGATGCTTTCCAGTCCTCCCTTTGAGCCCCAAATGATGCCTCTCTTATGCACACCAGCGTCAGGTTGGACTTTCTTCTGATAATGGTTACCTCTAGAGAAGGCAGCGAACTACACACTCTTCCCGTTGCCGAAAGCTGTCTCTGTTGGGAGCTGCATAGCGTTTGCCGATTCCTTCGATTAGCTTCCTGATGAAGGACCAGACTCACCCACTTGATCCTTCCAATATATTTGTACCCTCCATCTTCTTACATCCTGGAGACGATGTGGATAAACTGTGGTGCCTTGTTCATATCCTGAAGTGGTACCTGACTAAAACAATAGTATGAGTGTCAGTATTGTCTGAACAACAGATCCTGCAAAGCTTCAATAAATAACTTGTGTGTCCCGTGTTTGTAGACTGCTGCATGTGTGTATTGTGCGTGTTTGTCGTATACCCAGAGAGTATGTGTACTATAAGAACTAATAAATAATGCATGATTCCGGATGAATATCTATATCGCCATGGTCGGGTCTTTTATATCATTTGGGCATTCTGAGGATTATCTTCTGAACAGTGAAGTCATGTGATCAAACCCCACGGAATTTAAAATATACGCCACTCTAACATCGATTGCAAGCTTTGCAAACTATAGTTTCACAAGCTTGCAGATATTAATTAAAATGCTGATGACCAGGTTTTGGACCGGCAGTGGGCTCCAGGAGCAATAACCGATATCTCTGCCAGCAGTTTGAGCTCACTGTTATTGTTTTCTTGTACAGTTTGTGTCACTTTGAACACTGAATGGCAGTTATATTATTATCTAAAGATCCTCGTCTTAGTGAGGCATCATAATGATACTTGGACAGTGAAACTTACTTGTTTAATTTTGGTGTGCATCTTTTATAAGGTACATGTAGCCTTAATGTAGCTATGATCAGCCTTGATTAATTATTATATATTTATGAAATCGTGTAACAAAGGCAGGCGATCAAACCCTCTTGCTTCATTTATGAGAAGAAGTGGCTATTTGTAGGGTGTGTATATCATTATCATTTGCTGTGAAAATTGCAGATGGCAACTTTGCCTAGATAGAGGCAATCCTCTGACTGTCCGTGCTGGGCGAGGCAAACAGGCCCGCGACCAGCCGAGTCGTCCCTACCTTGTAGAAGCACTGTCCATTTTGCAATGCAGACAGGCCCATGAAGAGCAACAGCCCAGACAAGAACTTCTGGTTGTTTGGTGACAGTGCCCTGATTGATTGCAGCCTACTTATCTGAAGGTAGCGTTAAAGGGACATCTGAACAGTCAAGAGGGAGGCCCTCATCACAAGCACTCAAAACCAAACAGAAACTGACTTTAACACCAACAATGGTGGGCCCATTCATATTTTCTTTTGCTGGCTAGATTAGGATTATTTACCATACTTCTATTCAAGGTCTGTTAAACATAGTCAATACTACATCAGGGTTAATTGATGTAAGAATGGTGCATCTTGGTCTTCCCCTTGAGATGTTTCCATTGCATGTTGCAATGTTGGAGTCTCCCTCTACTTTAATCTCCTGCTACTTGAGGGATGTCCTGCAGAGGGACACCGCAAATGGCAGGACATTCGTACTGTCCACAGTGCAGAGATCAAGGGGACCTCCTGTGAGATGGATGGACAACAACTCATCACGAAGTTCATTTACTATTTCTTAAATTTATACACTCTGTCTTATTTATATGAGAAGGTGTATTCTTGGCATTATGTGTGGTTTCCAACCCCCCACCTACATGTACGCGTAGATCGGTGCTACTCTGCATATTTGGTGACTGTTTGGGTAGGTAGAGCACCATAGACTCCTCCCCCACATTAAGTGTGGGTCGGGTCTACTAGAGAATACCTACCCAAACAGTCCTCTCCCGCCCATCCTCCCCACTTGGCTCTGACCCTTTTGAGTTGCTTTCAAAAAGAAGGACTATCATGGCAGCGAGACCATGTTGCATTGTGGGAGGTCAGGAAGCACTTGGGTGATTGGTTTTTTACGACGAGTAATAATAGGCACATGGAAAATTTGCACATGTGGTGACTGTTTGGGTAGGTATTCTCTTGTAGCCCCGACCCACACTTAACGCAGTGGATGAATTATTTTCTTTTCTGCTGTTTTTTATTTCTTTTCTCACCCTGACTGTAGGCATTTCTCCACTAATTTCATTTGTATGCTACTCCTTCATATGTTACATACATGTATGTTTATTTAGGGATATTTCTTGTGATTTGATTTTTTGTCACCCTTCTTTATAATTCCTTCAAACAGGAACCAAGTATGTGTACATAGTAGAAGTTTTACTGACTGACTGAAATGTGACTTCTACACACAGGGAAAAATTATCGTTTAATTTGCGTAAATGGGAGAATATATTCATTTGCCTCATGCAATCAAATATTCAATCAGTAATTTCTTTACATTATTCTTATCAGTGCTCTCATTACTATTGAAGATGGAATATTGCTCCTGCATAGATTGACAGCCTCCTTCAGATTTCAATTTTAAAACATTGCACAAAGTTTGACATTACTCTTAGAACTTAGATAACGTTTAGTGTTATTTGCAACTAACCCTAAAAGCTTGCAAATACAAGAAACTTGTTCAAGATTTGTTCAAATAAAGCACAAAAATAGAAAATGTTGTGACATCTACTGGATCACCATTTTGCAATTGATATTTTCATGGGTTTTGTATTCCACTTTTTGTTATTATCTGACTTTTCTCATTAATTTCAGATTATGCTGCCTTAAAGCTGATTAAACTTTGGCAAACATTAGCATATGGAGACATCTGCATCAGACGAGGAGACTTGTTTTAAACAGTGAGTGTTTTAGTGTAGCTGCAGTCAATTTTCCTGTTAGTTTTTATACACTGTTTTACCAGTTCACTCAGAAACGGGATCCTTTTAATGAAACAGACTGGTAGTTGCATGAATAATGAACACTTGATCAATTCTTGTTAATATCTATTATTTACACAATAAGTTGGACAAAATGGCCTCGACTCAATAAAATGTGGCACCTAATTCAAGCTACCATTATTTCAACAAAATCTAACATGCTAAGCAATAATCAAAGCAGTGCTATGGAGCAACTGTTACATACATTTACAGTGTCATTTTGTCTATGTATGGAGAAGGTTCTTTGGATTATTATCTAGTAATGGTTTAACCAAATCAGAGAGCATACAGGAAGAATAGCCTTTTTTTTAAGGACACCAAAACCACGTGACAATTGTCACACGATACTTTCTTGCAACCATCTGAAAACTTTTACTCATACCATTATGTGCCAAGTCATGACTCATCACACTCTAATGTGATGCAGTCTACCTGCTTTATTAGTATTTTGTATAAACGCATCCAGATCCAGGTCATCAAATTAAATGAGTGTAGTGAGTTGCTCAAAGTGCAAATGCGCAATCAAGGTAAGACCTGTGTGTGATTGAGATAGCCCCACAGGAATGGCATCTCCTGGGATCTGCCTAATAAAATGAGTAAAAGCATGTTTGCGCCCTCCAAAAGACATTCCTTCTTGAAGACTCTTATTTCATAAATATCAAACAGTGAAAAGTGTATAATTCCTCTCAATACTGTGTTATTTGTTGTCACATCACTGAATAGATCCAATTTTAATGAACTGGTTGCTAATAGTAAGAGGATTTGCTGTCTAAAGCCATCCTCTCTTTCAACGGTGAATCAAAGTCCTTTCTGGCTGAAAATTCACTGTACATGTAAATGATAATTCAGGAGAAGAATACATGTAAATTGTACAGTTACAATGATGTGTATGGTGTGGAGAAATTGAAAGTTGTGCATACAAATGTGATAATACAGCTGTAAACGTACCTACCGTTATAGATCACAACTGTACAAGATACAAGCTTATGCTGTATTAACATTTCATTCCAACATGTTAAAATAATAACATTCTGGGTGCGGGCTCTTCAATTGCAGCAATCACCTAAAAAAACATCAGTTTCTTGTTTCCATGAAATTCTCTGTTGAATATGTAACAAGTTTTAATTACCTGTAAATTTTTTATAATCTACTCTAAATTGTTTGCAGGAAGTTATTCAAATGTGCTGATGCTGTGGATATGTAAGAACATCCTGAAAGACCTCATTTTCAGTGGCATTTAATCTTATGTTTAATGCTGCTTGTATGAATATCAGCTTATCAGTTGAATTTTTGAAGATTGCTGATAGTTCTTTGAAAATAATGAACATCTTTTGACTCGTTGAAATTACAATGCATACATCTAGGCATGGATGTAGCAAGGGGAGGAGATAAAAAGGAACTAAAGAGTAGGAAAGCTTGGGTGACACACTAATATGCTTCAAAATACCCTGAAATTAGGCCCTTTTGCTACTGCTGACTGTTTTACTCCTCCCCCTTGAAAAGGAGCTTTACCCCTTCCAGACAACATGCATACATGTAGGCATTGACATTGTATAGCATGCTTCTGCTTCTGTACTTTATGCCAGCATCCAAGTTTATACGGTGCTGCAAGTAATCATAAAAGTGTTAAGACATTGCTTTATCTTAGAGAGTGAAATGAAAATTAAATACTGCAGCCGAATTTGAAACTTCAGGCTTGAAATTTGGAAAAATTATCCTTCTTTATGTGACACAAGAAAATGCACAACTAGGACGGTGTACATTTACTAGTCTGGTTCTTTTAATGGCATTGCTGCATTGCAGGAAAAGACGACCCTAAGAGATACAAAACAAAAACAAATATTACAAGAATATGCCCTGAAATAACAACTTACATTATGGAGACACAAGCAGTTCAAATAATTATGTCAAAGCAAACTGCTCAGGCAAATTGTGCTTAAACATAAATACAAATATAAACTCTGACAAAAACTGCAACATAAACCTGGTCTGCTTTCTGTACACCTCTGCATTGGAAATTACCAATTTATAGCATGACGCCTACATTAAAAGACACAAATAATCTCAATTCCTTCTATTACACAACTAATACACGAGGGAAAGCAAGGCACATGAATGTTTAAGCTTGCTAGCCCAGGCAGTCATCCACTTAATAAAAGGTAAACAAAACTCGGCACTGGCTTGCGGGGCAAAGAGATGCAATGCATAAACTTGACCTAGTCCATCAGCTATTCCATTCCAAAGATTTTACATGAAATTACCAACTATAGAATGCCATCAGTAATCAGAAACAAGTGCACACAAGGAATAAGCCAACCTTAAACTAATCAGAAACTAATACAGCTAAAACTAACAGTGGTGACTAGAATTAAAATCACCTCTACATGTAATAATAGTAGTGGGACTTGTGCAAGTCTAATGTTAACATATGTCCAGTAAACAATGGGTGCACTTTAAAGGGCAATGAACTATTCACTCCAGCCCTTCTAGCAGTGTGAACAGTAGGCTCAGTTCCTAGAATGTGGCTCTCATTAGTTATGCACCTATTAGCCTATGTAACACAGGGGTACAGTGTACATGTACATGCATGGACACGGAAGAGAGCTGCTCTAGGCCTCAGAGCAAGGAGACACACATTGAGAGAAAATAAGACTCTAGCTTCATATAAAAACCTAACAAAACAAGATGCATGTACACTGTAATTGCTACATAAAGCACAAAGAGAAGGAAAGAGGTAAAGTTGTACTAGAAACAAGCTGAAATAATCTTAATTCAAGTCCTTAATAAAAGGGGAACTTAACTCCACAATCAAATCAAAATAGTGAATAAAATAAATGATCCCATGGGATGATATTTAATTGACACAAGCCCGATTTGAGTCTAAATAGTATGTGCAAGAGGAATCTCAACAATTCAGTCATACTTGGAAGTTATCTCCAATGGGTATAGTTGGTCTACACTGCACACAACCCAAGAATCGATACATTTATAAAGTCAATCTACTGAGGAAAAATAGGCTACATTCCTTAAATATCTTTTCCTTCAATTACAAATCTTTATAAATGTACAATATAATAAACTTACGCCAGCCTGGGCTATCTGAAACTTCTGGAGAACTTGATGCTAGGTGTAGTTATTTAGCAGGGTGAACTCTTAGTGTTTATTGGCTGAAGACTTAGTGTGCAATGAAACAAAGGACAATGTGCTACAGAGGTGCCTAGAGGGGGGTCCCTGAATGAACTCACAAGGTCCTCGGGGGGTCTCAGAATGAACTTGCACTAAACAGTTGACTTGGCACAGCCAACTGAGGGCACTAGGCAAAGAACATAAAAAGTGACCTGTCACATTAGTGCTAGGTGAACATGTAAACTTCCAGTTCTTTTTCGAGTGTAAGCAATCCATCAAAAATGTACAGGGTTACGAACTTCATAGTTCACTCTGACTCTTCAAATTTTTTTCACATCCTAAATGCACTTCTGTAAAAAGAAAATTCTGTGAATACGCTCCATGACTACAGCTAGACTGACATTACCAATTTTATAACCACGGAGGCAATAAGAACTGTTAGAAAAGTTTGCCTAAACAAAAGTACAGAAGTGTGTACATGTAGTCCAGGATTATAGAAATTAAGTTTTTACAAATGAAGCCAGATATGGGACAATGACAAGTGAAGTCAGCCTTGGGGGAAAAAGGTCTACTGGGAGCTAGATGAAGAGGTCTGCTGGGAAGGTTAATAGCGATGTATACTAGAAGTATGATGGAAGTTGATGCCCCTTCAGAAAAATGGCCACCAATTAAATTATGGAACCCACTCTGACAAAAAGACCCTCAGATGCCAAATACAAGGCAAACCAAAGAGTCGCAATAATTTACAGCAAATTCATTAACAAAGGTTTTCCATGAAAAACGTAAACGTTTCCAATCTCCAGAAATGTAAGGGTTAAAGATTAAAGGAGCTCTCTCATGACAGCATGTGCAGGAATGCTGGAACCAGGGTGACCTGATGAAAATGGTGCAATTCTGCTAGATGCACTTCAAAATTCTGCTATATCTGACAAAAATCTGTAAATCACCTAAAATTAACAAAAAGCATTATAAATGCTTTAAGTCACATGCACATGTTAAACAATTGCCTAATTACGACATGATATTTATTATAAACAAGTTATACTTACATACAGATGGGTATTAATACATGTAACAGCTGCTGATAATATAATTAAAGACTAGGAAAATTCTATTTACAGTTCAGTGTGCACGGGTCTATAACCAGGTAATGTTTTGGTAATAACTGTGTATTATAACATCCGGACTTCAGAAAGCCTCAACACATAGACTGGCCTGCCTATCTCGTCATGCATGGCTTTGGAATTTCAAGAAAATTTATAATTTGTTGGGATAAAAATGCTCAAAACATTGATCAGCTAAACTTGTCTGCTAGAATAAAAAACACTGTTAGAGTTCTGATATAAATCTGCTAAAAATACTCATTTCCTGTCAAAGAGGGTTTTTTGCCCCCCCAAAAATCTGTCAAATCTAGCCAAAAATCTACTTAATGGTAATCCTGGCTGAAACAGGTATCTTGAATTTTTGCTTTACCAGACCCTCGCGCTCCCTTACCCTCATGGGCATCTATGCGAATGCATGCCAGTTATAAATCACTCCCTTAGCTCTAGGTTTGGGTATGTTTTCAAGTTGTTTTGTTTTTTATTACACAACTGTCATGGGATATCCATGTACTTCCCTGTGAGAAAATGGTTTGAGAGGAAACTAGTTACCACTAGTGCCTCATGAAAGTTTGCCCTGTTGAAATGTCACAGTTTACTTTCATTTAAAAAAAACCTCCAAAGCTAGGATTCTAGCCGTCTTTCAAGTTGGGTTTCAACAGCATGTAATCCCCCCAAAAAACTTGGCATCTGGCAGTATCACCCATTCTCAGGTGATAAAGCCACCCGAAAGCATCCCAAATATTCCAAATTCCTTGTCAACATTCAGACTTCTGTAATGATATCTAAATATTCATTATCTTGCAAATATGTAAAGTCCATCTTGGCATTCAGGAGTATTCCATCTGAATAAATGCAGCCATGACAGGGTCTACATCAGCCTCCTTCCTTCTTTTTTGGCCATCAAAACTGTTGCATACATGTAGATGGTCGGCATTTTTGGTCGTGTGTACATGTTTGTGTACTGACCAAGTATGTCATAATTTATAATAATAATAATATATTGGACTTATATTGCACTCCCTCCAGGATCAACCTGTTCAAGAGCACAGTACATACAAATAAAAAAATTCCAGACAAATTTGCATTAGTAACATTAAGCAAGATATGTAATTGTAATATGTAATGAGTGCCTAAAAATACAGCAGCAAACGAAAAATCCATTGAGATACTGTAACGAAATCCCAGCAGGATCCCGCTAGTATAAAATTGTGAGTTCCAATTTACTACATGTATCAACAAAGGGAAACCACTGAAAATGAACCACTAAAGTATGAACAGGCTAATCTGCCTCGCTGCATAACACCTTTAGCAGCTTAAATCATTTATTTCAATATTTATTAAATGTCTACAAAATAATTTACTAAAATGAGTAATACATAATTAAATTATTATTAAGCTAGTTGCTCCCTGTTTTAAACAGGGCGCAATGAGACTTAAAGACCCATATGTTCCTATACATGTCGGCAAATTCCAAATGTTGGCAACGCCCTCCCCTGAAACAGTCCTGTAAAAGAAAAGGAATACCCTGGCCACATGAACAAGAACATGCAAATCTAGAGCAAAAAGGAGTGGCTGAACAGGTTGACCCAAGTCTTAAAGAAACAATACCAAAAACTTGCATACAGAACAAAAAGATAAATGGGAATATCCCATGCCTCTAGCTGTTCCCAGGTCTGTCCTTAAGGAAATTTCCCACAACACTGGTTTTATATGGCCAGCCAGATAGTCAATAATGAAAGTAATGAAATAACATGTACAGTCCCAAGAATCTATGCAACAACAAATGACCATTCAGCTTATTGAGCTCTTTCTCTTCAGTCCCCGTAGGCTGAAGAGGTTGTAAAGAATAAGGATTATTTCAACAATGATGGAGTTAGTATATTAAACAAGTACTTGATTCCATTACATGTAGTTGGAACTGAAGAGCAATAGTACAGCCCCAAGTTAAAAAGCGGGTCAAATGGTATGGAGTGCAATTTGTACGTGTATATCATTATTCATTAAACAAAAGATATGGAGCACAAGAACTCGCACAAAATTAAGTCAAGTTAATTTTTGTTACAATACCAAATAAAAATAATAATTGCCCGTGACATACAACATTACACACAAATGTATAGCATGCCCCTTGTAAGACCCAGACTTTCACAGTACTCCTGAAAACAGGAAGTGCACACGCTGACAGGCAATATATCAAGGCAGTAATAAAACCTGCAAACATGGGGAATATCATCTATACAGAAGACATTTACAATAAAATTAAACAGATATTTAAAAACCACACCATATTACATGTCACCAAATGCTTGCTGAAAAAGACAAGTTTTGAGTTTAGTTTCAAAAAGACTTTGTGTGTCCAGATTTCTAATATCAGCTAGTAAATTATTCTGTAGGGGTGTAGGAGTGGCTGAAGAGAAAGCACGGCTACCTCTTCTTGATGGAAATGTCCATCAAGAGACTGTAA